CAGGGGAGCCCCCCCAAACCGGTTCCACCGGGGTTTGCCCGCGCCTCACGGCGGCCCCAGCCCCCCTAGCGCTCCAGCGGGGCCGCGGGGGTCCCCGGTGCCGCCGGGGGTCAGGCGGGGTGAGGCGCAGCCCGGCCTCCCGGTGCGGCTCCGGTGTCGGTGCCGGTGGCAGCCCCGGGCGGGGGGGGTCACGGCTGAAGGTCGCGGTCCCGGGGTGACCTTGGCCGTGGCGCCCGCCCGCCCCTGCCTCAGTTTCCCCGCATCGCACAGTGGGGACGCGCCAGAGTCCGGTTGGGACCGCATCCCTAACCCCGGCGGCGACACCGGACCGGGGGCAGGATCCGCCCCCCCGGGGCTGGGGTGGGGGGCATCCCGCGGGACCGCGGGGCGCCGTGCAGAGGGGAGCCCCCGCCACGCCCCGCGCCCCGCTCAGGGCGAAGCCTGTGGTCCGCCCCACGCCAAACGCCCGGATTTTCCAAGAGAGAGAGAGAGAAAAAAAAAAATCTTTCCCCGTGTTTTTTCCTCGCGGTTCGCGGCCCCCGAGCCCTCGGCGGGTCCCCAGCCTCCCGGGGCGATCGCCGCCCACCCCCCCATTCCACGCACCGAACTGCGCCCGTGCTCAGCCGGGGGGGCCCGGGGGGGGCCCCGGTAAACAACCGGGGGGCGGCGGGGCCGGCGGGGCCGCTCGGGCCGTACCTGAGGTCGACGGCGGCGGGCGCGGAGCGCGTGGGGACCCACGGGGGAGCGGCGGGGTCGCGGCGTGCCGTGGGAAGGTGACCCCGGGATGGGGATCACGGGGTGGGGACGGTGGCAGTGCCAGGGCGCGTGGTGGGAGCGCTGACGGTGCCCACGGGGATGTGGTGACAGCGACAGCGAGGACGGGGGGTGGTGAGAGCAGGGTGGGGGGCTAAGGGAAGTGCCCACCGGGGTTGGGGACGGCGGCCGCAGGGAGCTGGGGACCGTGCCCACAGGGTCCCCGGGGTGTGCCCCCGGTGGGGTGAAGCTGGTGGCCGCGGGAGTTTGGGACGGTGCTCACGGGGATGTCGTGACAGTGACAACGGGGATGGGGGATGGCGGCCACGGCGAGGCGGGCTGCACCGAGGGGGCACCGGAGACGGTGCCCAGAGAGGCCCAGGGGGATGCCCGTGCCAGGGTGGGGACGGTGCCCGCAGGGAGTGGGAACAGCCCCCACGGGGATGCTGTGACAGTGACAACCTGGCGTCCACGAGGGCAGGGCACGGCACCCGCAGGGAGCTGGGCACGGTGCCCACGGCGATGCTGTGACAGTGACAGTGGGGACCGGAGGGGCTGCCCGCAGGATTTGGGGACAGCACCCAGGAAGGGCTGGCACGGTGCCCTCGCTGGGTGGCGGTGGCGTGGAGATGATGCTCATGGAGATCTGGGACGGTGCCCAGGGGGGTTGGTGACAGTGCCCACGAGGCAGGGGACAGCTCCACACCCCGGGGCGCCCAGCTCGGCCCGGGGAGGGGCACACAGCAAACACGGGGGTCCCACTCAGATCCACACCGCCGCGGGCAGGATCCGGTCCCGCAGGACACCCGCACGTCGGGGGGCCCTGCCCCTGCGCCCCCCGGGGGATGTGTGGGACGGGGGTCGCACCCCGCTGTGGGGCCGCAGCCGGAGCCGCTGTGGGGCTGGGGACGGCGGCGTGCACCGGGACCCCGGGGGGATCACCGGGCAGGGCGCTGAGGGTCGCCCCCCGGAGCCCCCCGACCCGCCCGTGCCACCCCACCCCTTTCCCAGCAGCCCCTGCTCCCAGCCCCCCCTTTTCCTCCCCGGACTACACGTCCCGTCATGCCCGGGCTTAAAGCGGCTCTGCCGCCCCCTCCCACCCCGCCCGCAGCCCCGCAGCCCGGCCCT